GTATACTGTGTCTTAACTGAAGATTATGTTCCTATTCAGCTTCGGCTGTTACTACGAAATACATGACCATTTTTTTTTTTTTTTTGTCGCAGAAAAATTGAAATAAAGTTACATCCATACTTAGACAAGCTGAAGCTCTTTGAATGAATGTAATTATTTTCGTTACCTTCTTTTCTCGGTTCAGGAAAATGTGTTTATATCCCGAACATTTTCCCCATCCTTTAGGGCATCCTGGTTGATGGGGCACGACAGCTTCACCATTCTGACAAAAAGTCAGCAATAAAACTGAAGTCACAAGGCACAGGAAACCCAAGGATTTTGATAGCCCATTCATGGCGGAATACAACGGACGCTAATCAATTGTATAACCTTTTCCTTAAGCGACTGAACTCCTTAACCGAAAACAGATCGTTCGCCTTGACGTGGGTTTATATTGATTAGTTTTTCGCAGTTATTGACATCTGGTGGTTAATTACTCTGTCAAAAATAATTAATGCTATAGGAGGGCGGGAGGATCTAAAGAATAAAAAGGCAGATAAAAAAAAAAAACGTCACCTGTTGCCAATGAATTGTTCATAGTCTTTTTTAAACTAACTGCTTAGTTAATTGCTTATTACGAATAATCAACGTCTGGCTTTTAATAGGGCTCTTAAACAGAGTGCGAAATGAGGCGGTGGACTTTTATGTGTGTCTCTGAAATCAATTACGAGAAGATTGGGTCGCAAAAAGTGGGCATCCCGACGCCGGAAAAATTTTCACAACAAATTCTCGGCCTGAGGCAAGGTGGTGAGGTTTTAAGTTCCATGCGAACTGACTTTAATCCCTGACAAAAATTGCGCAAATTCAAACTCTTCTGAATTTTTTCGCATAATCGCAAGGAGAAGAAGCTGCTTTGACTTGTTCTGCCGCATGTACAGCCCATCGCCGAATTCTGCTCCAAACCTTCCTCTTTTCAACATGTTTATCGACGTTCAGCGAAATAAGTCAGTAGAAATTTAACACAGGTCGAATGCAGCCTGTTCTTCAAATGACAAACAACTAGTGTTAGCAGCTTGGCCGGTAACATAAGAAATTCCGGCCAGCGAAAAATTAATACGTTTATTTTCACGAGATGTTGACTTTTATTGGCGAAAAAAGTATGCTGCAGGTGGTACTATCTACATGTGGTAATAACCAATTCATAAAGGTAGCGATCAAAAAGATTCTTAACAACGCTCAAACCCCCTTTAGGTAAAAAGTAAATACAGGAAGTTCTAGGAGTGGAGATGAGTTTAATTGTCGTTGCCACACATTCCTGTTTAGCTATAATATCTTTAATAGTATTTTTGACATTGTTTTGGTTGATGAAAGTGAGATCTTTGTCATATATAGCATAAAAGGAGGTGTCAGAAAGTTGCCGCAAAACAACAACTGCGCCGCCTTTGTCGGCCGCTTTAATAAATATTTCTGCGTTTTTTTAGACTTTTTAGTGCCGACCAATCTTCCGAAGAATGGTTGGAAAGTTTGGTGTTACGATTGACTTTAAGTTTGTTGATATCGTGGCGACATTTTTTGATGAAAAATTCTAAAGATGCGAACTGGCCCCAGCTCTGGGGGAGTCCATTTAGACTTTCGAATCGGACGTGTTTCAAAAGGTTTTTTTTTTCAACGTCTCGCCTAACTGAAAATTCGTCGGTTTTTTCGGAAATAGGAAAAAAGTTCAGAGTAGAATTTGTTCGTTGAGTTCGTAACGTTTTTGGCACATAGCTCTGATTGTGATTGTCATGATATAACGTGACAAAGAATTTTGGGCGCACTGAATTTGGTGAGCACATTGATCAGGTTCAAACCAATGACCAATTCGGAACTTTCAAATGCACTTGCTCACGATGCAAAACTTGTCCTTTCATTCATAACGTAGAGAAAATATCGGGACCCAAGAGACCATTAAGATAACTGATTACTTTACGTGTACCTCCGTTAATGCCATTTACTGCACAACTTGCACTTGTCGCAATAGGTTATACAATGGTGAAACAGGAAGACGACTAGGTGACCGATTTCGAGAACACCTTCGCGACGTAGAAAGAAATGACAAGGACGCATTCAAACCAGTCGCTAAACACTTTAATCTCCCAATCATTCTAAACAACATATGGCAGTTTACGGCCTTTCCTTACATCTAGGCAGTTCGGAAAGCCGCAAAACACTGGAAAAAAAATTTATCTTCCAAATCGGCACCCTTAATCCCCACGGTATCAACGAGCGCTTTTCATTCAACTAATTTATTCTTGTTTTCTCGTCACCATACTCTCACCAATAGCATAGCTCCATTTTCTTCATATACACACCTACACAACCCACAGTTCCTCCAATCGCTCTGACGAAGGGCTAACGCTCGAAATTTCAGCCTTTTAGCTTTTTAGGTGGCCAATTTACGTTTTCAATTCAGTTGTTAACACTAAATTGCCTGTAGCTAAAATAGCTGTGGAAGGTCTGGGTACAAGACCAACACTCGACTGCACCTCGAGTGCCACTCTTTTATTCGTGTGTGATCCACATGTGATCTATTTCTGAAGAGACTCACTGTAACGGCTGCCACGCCTTTGCTACCGGACATTGATCTGTTATAAGTTTGTTTCGTGTTAAACGTGTTAAACCGCAATAGTGACGTTACTGTTTGTCCATTAGGGACGTGATCTTTAAGTTCCACCCAGAACCGCATTTTAGTTAGTTATCTTGCGTTGGGCTAACGGTAAGACGTGTTTATCGAAAGGCGCCCTTTTGCCCACCTTATCTCGAAGTTCGTTTTGGTCAAACTTTTACAAGCGGGACTGTTATGTAAGTGCTTATGTTCCTTCTCTTCGTACTTGTTTAAACATCTAGTCTTTCGGTAGTTTCGCCCAGTTTTTTATACCGCTATCTTTGCAACCTTGTAACACGTGGCTTACGTTGTTCATGCTTTGTTAGTAAGCTGCTCGTTTTTCCCACTCGGTTATTAGTTTTGTTAGAATTCGTTTGCAAGCGCTTCTCCTTTATCCTTGAAGATAGTCTTTGGTGAGTTTGTTTTAGAGTTTTAGCTAGTCTATCGGAATGATTGGAATGTTGGTCCGTATCTTAGAATTGAGCTTAGCTTCTTCCTTATAATTTCATATTTCAATTTACGGTAAGTACTTGGAGACCTCGACTACGCTAATAAAACGATTCAAGTCTTTTCCGTGTAATGTATCCTCGCTTCATAGTGCGTCTTCACTAGCGAAACTCATAGTTGTGGTTGAAATTTGCTTCGCTTGTGTCGGCTGCTACACTCACGGCAATATGGAATCTACACATTAAATTCCTATTCAACTGCGAGGCAACTTTGAACGTGGTCACTTCTGACGATCCATGTAATGGTTGACACCTTAGTGATGGCCTTGTCGAAAGATACTTTCCGTCGGGTTGAAGTCGACCTCTGTGTTGTGTTCTTTGACAAGATACCTTGATCAAGCAGTGCCACCTGTGCACATGAGTACAATCAAGTGGAATGAAAAGCTTGAGGGGGTATGGTGCAGAAGGCTACTTAAGTGGTGCGATATTTTTGCCCGAAGGCCGTAACCCTCCCTTCTCTTGAAAAATCCCAGTTACGCGCGTCATGATTACCTTTAATATACCATTCTTTTATCGTTGAATAACGTTAGAATGAATTCAAAGCCCTCACTTTACTGATGCTAAGGTGGATAAAAACATTACGACAAAAAGATCAGTCAAGTGAAGTGTCTACAAGACGTTAAGTAAAGGTATACTTTTAAGGAGAAACCATCTATCGCAAAGGGAAGTTCCTGATAAAAATTGAGAAAGCACTCAAAAAACCAACAGATAACCAATGGTTTTTATTGGAAAAATGTCCAATGTAGAGGAACAGTTCTTTAATGGATAGACTCTGTCAATCTATAATGCAGTCGATCAGTCTAAAAGGCAATGACACCTTAACCTCAGCATGTATGTTATGTCATAGTATTTGTCTACAAATGACCAAGCTTGTCTTCACCACAAAAATGAAAAATACCATTTTCAGTTTATCATTAGTCAACTACTCTAGAACCACGGTATCAAAAAAGAAACAAAAAAAAAAACTCCCCTTTCTGGCTAAAGTATCCTCAAAATGTTTTTGCGCGAAACGACAGATCATTAAAATTTACCATGCTCAAAGTCTTTAGTATGTTGTTGGAGACCGGTCACTATTGTCGCCTGAGGTGGGAGGGGAGCGGAAGATTCTAGGGGATCACGTGGTTTTTAAGAGGGACGGAGGGGGGAGGGTAAGTCATCGCTACAAGTATGAAGAGGGAATTGACAGCCAATAAAGTAGGATCATAAGAATACTAACGATCGTTGGGGGAGATTTGATAAATTTTATTGTGACACAACCAAAATCCACCGATCCCCACCCCACAGGTGATAAAAAATGACCGGTCCCTTTGTACTGGTTGCGAGTAGCCACCAACCTACACCCTACAAGAGATTATAAACAGTTTATAATCTCTTGCAGTCCGATAATTAAAAAACACTTAAAATAACAACAGGCTTCTATCTATTTAAAGAAAACTGTGGCGAAGTTTACGTTTTCACCACAAGAGCAAGGTAGTTATCTGTTTTTTTTTCCACAACAACCAGCGTTCCTGTTTTCTCTGAGAAGTTTCAGGTCTAGTACACTCAATAACTATCGACCATCGTTATGACCGTAACCGCTGAACAGTTCTGAGGTCCGTGCTTTCTGATTTAAAATGGACAAGCATTGAAATATCCAGTTGAATTGATCGTTGCTTTACATATTTCATGCGCGATCGTAAAACAAAGCAGATGGAATTCTACAGCACAAAGTTATACTTCTGTTTCCACTAATTAACAAAATATGCAAGTCAGTCGCCTGGCCAAGAGCGTCACTTTTGCCGCGTGCAGCCCCTACTCCAGCGTGGCTCTGCGAGGTTTGTCTTCAATCAGTATTATGTCCAGGCTGTTTGGAGGCTCATTCAGCGAGCCTAAACCGAAGAAAGTTCCCAGCTACCTAAAGGTGCATGGTGTTGAAATCCAGGACGAGTTTCAATGGTTAAAAGATCGTGGATCTAGGGTAAGCTAATATTCTTTATGTCACGTGTAGCTACTATACACTCTTGACCAACTCCATACACGCTGTTTTTAAAAAAAGTTTTCACCATTGTTTTGTTTTCTCAAAGAATATTGATATTATAGAAGTATGCATATTGTGCTACATCGTATCAATGGTTTTCCCAGGATGGGAAGGGTGGGTGGGGGAGATAGCCACCAGGTAAAACCCCTAACCCTGACCCTGACCCTGGCCCCTGACCATGCCTCCCCCCGTCCCCCAGAATTTCATCAGTCTTCCTGACAGTTAGCCAGTACCCATTTATACTCTTCTGGTTGGAGAGACACACTATGAGAGGAAAGTGTCTTCCTTAAGAACACAACACCTGGCCAGATTTGGAACCCTAACCTCTGGGCCATGTGGAAATCTTGCCTGAGATTACTGGAAAGCAAACAACAGCTGATTTAAATCTTAATTTGGAATTTCACTGATAGAAGCAGAACTACATCTCACAAAACAGTCTCTGTGCATCACATGTTCAGTCAGACATTCATGCAAGGAGTAGCTCTGCTTTAAACAGATGGCAAGGGCAAGATTTAAGCTGTTTTTTTTTTGCTTTCCCTTCATGAATATGAGCAGCCCAATATGCACTTCTGGGAAGTTCAGGGATGGTCTCTGCAAATGCAATGTAGTTGACTTTTACTAGTCATTTACATGTACATGTACTACGCCTTTGAGTAGTATTATACCTTTCTTTTCTGTTCCTAGGCTGTACGCAATTATGTCAAACAAGAAAACAGGTGAGATTTGCCGACTTTACTATATCTTCATTGTTGCACTACTGTATTACATATATTTTATACTTTATTCATGTACATGTACAGTAGGTCTTTAATGCTAGCTTAAACAATTGCACTCATTGTGATGAAACCTGCTTCAGGTTCAGCTGAAACAATATTTATCCCTTCTGTTTTTTTCTTTATAATTTTTCCACTTAGAAAAATACCCATTCAGGTGTTTTTTTATTATTAATTCTCTTTTGACATATGCTTATATATATATATACATAGATATTGTGATGCTGTGTTGTCTGATACAGAAGCTTTCCAGGAGAATCTGACAAATGAGATGAAAGACTGGTTTCATAAGCATTTTGATGATGAGTCTGTTCCAGAAGTAAGTTTACAAGTCATCAGTCTTGAAGAATTTCCTCAGAAGCACAGTTATTTTGACTACTGGACCCTTTACATCTTCTCATTAGGATGCCTAATCTCTATACTGTTCCCTGTACATTTCTGATAATACTGATAAGAAGAATTTGACTAACAGTCTAAAGCTTCTTTTGTTGGTGATCATTTCCTTTATTCTCATGACCTTAATGTTTGACTTAGGGATAATACTGTGAGGAGAAATCAGATGGTAGTCAATCCTAGGGTTAAAGGGCCAATGATTATAAATCCTCAAGATGATAAAAGAAGGAAAAGTCTACTTTAAAGCTATTTTACTGGTTCACACCCTGTAGAGCTTCTGTAGATTTTAGTACCCTGAGGTGACCAAGGGTATTATTTATTCCCCCAGATACAAAGCCAGCCTATGTGTATCAGGCCCTGCTATTTTGATAATGTCTTATCACCATTTCACTCTAGAGTTCTTCAGTAGCCTTTCTCCTTTACAAACAAGATTTGATAAAAATGATTAATATGGTCTTATCATATATTTGAGCATACATTTCATACATTTCCAGCCAATAAAATGATAAGTTAAACAATTGTTACAAAGAAGACAAATGTTTAATGATCATCAACAAAAGTATCACTGAAAACTCTATTTGAAGCCAGTTTATTCTGAATGGAAGTACTGGTTGTCTGGAACAATCTTGATTCAAGGGTGCCAGGAAAGACAGGCAGCAACTATTTATACTAGTTTTAAAATTTGGGTTTGATATTCTTTTTTTTATTTCAAATCATTATGACACTTAACTCAATCAGTTCTGTATTTTTTGGCAGGAACTAGATGGTTATATCTATTATTTGAGCAATCCTCCCAAAGACTCTTACCTACCTGTGTATTGTAGAAGAAAAATATCAGAAGGTATCAATGTCACCAGTAATTAAACAATTTTTTATCAAATGTGTCACCAGTAAATTAATTTTGTTATAAAATTTTAATGAAGACTTTCAGTCTGTCAGTATGTCCAAAAGTTCATTGAGTGGGACAAAAGGAAAAAGATTGCTTCCTTTTGTTTGGCATTTAGTGATTCTTAATTAGATTTCCAACCTTCTGTTAATTTCGATTTTTTTGGTTGCATTGTACTTTTCCCCTTACTTCAAGCTGGTAGCTTATGATCATGATATTTATGAGCATGATTTTCACTGTACAACAATAGTCCATTTTACAGTTGTGTGCTTGGTTGCCAAGCCTTTGAACAGGAGTGAGGCTAAGGTGACCTTGTTATGATACAAACCTTGCTGCTTTTGAAATGCAAATTCATTTGTTATCATGCTAACTAGATTCTGGTCTCTAACACAACAAGGTCACCTTCAGCCTCACTCCAAATCAAAGGCTTGGCAACTAAGTACACAACTGTAAAATGGCCTATTTCTGATTGGCTGTTAACTTTGGTTTGTAACTGATTGCCTTTTCTTTTACTTATTCAGTCATTTATGTTGTTGTTACTTTTAATTAATTATTACTTATTATTAATTATTAATTATTAATTATCTATAGATGGTTCTTATGGTGACCCAGAAACAATACTAGACCAGAATGAGTTAAAAGAACGATACAATTATGTTTCAATACCAAGAATTAAAATATCTCCCTCAGGAAGGGTAAGTATAGTATTTATGATAAATGTGTTAATTAAATATTTGACAAACTAAACATATTTTGAATAAAGGGGGTATTAAGTTTCTAAAGAAACTGTGGTACTGCATCGGTGGGAGAGTATAGCAGGTAATTTAGTGTTAACAACTGAGTTGAAAATGTAAATTGGCCATCGTAAAGGGTAAAAAAGCTGACGTTCTGAGCATTAGCCATTCGTCAGAGTGGTTGTAATTTATGTTTTCAACTCAGTTGTCAATACTAAATTACCTGCTAAATGTGTTTTGCTGAATTTCATGTGATGAATTCTTTGTCCATTTTCATGAAATTTCTTCAACCCTGTACTCCCCAACATCAATTCTCCCCTCTGGCTGATACACATTTCCTTGTAATTAATTTATCAAATATTTAACTCCCAGTTCAAATTTGTTATTCTTCTTACTGTCAACCATACAATTCTTATAAAGTTATTTCAGAGAATTTAGTATTGGATCAACTAATTATCCCCAAAATGATATTTTTCTTTATTCTCATCACTTATCTGGTTGATACTGTGTTGATATTGTAAGGAGAAATTCTTTCTTGGTCACACATGGGAGTTAAAGGGTTTTTAATAACAAGAATTTGGCATTAGATCAAGATAACAACTTCTTCCTGATGAGTTTGAGTATTCTCATTTAGTTGTTTGCTGGATGATGTATGGAGAAGTTACATGTTCACCACTTTTGGGAGTTAAAGGGGTGATTTATTTTGCACATTGGATTATTATTTTGAACTCTGCTTTATTTTATAATGGGCTCATTGAAGAAACAGTTTGAGGAAACAAGTGTCATGTATTCCAATCTGTTTTTATAGTACATAGGTTTTTTGCTGGACAAAAGTAATACTGGGATGTACACCTTGTTTGTCACCGAGGCACATGAAGGGATCATAAATTTTATTGATGCCATACCAAATGTTGTAAATTTTGGTGAGTTTTGTGAATTGCTAATAACAGTCATTGCTTTTATGAAAATGATTTTATAAAATTTAATAAATAGATGCTGTTTGTTTGGCTTTGATCTTGTCTTGGTTTCAAAGAAACAGTACTCTTATGGTACAAGTAAATTGTCTTGCCTGGGAACACTACAGTGACCCTTTTCTGGACTCAAACTGGGACCCATGATCAGGATATAGCCAGGCAAGAACTAATGGCCTTCCAATTTCCCTCTGCAATGTGTTTGCACTTCAGAACAAGTATTGGAAAAGGTGAGGTTTTTAACATTAAAAATAATTATGAATATTTCCTCTCAATTTTTAGAATGGGGATGCGATGACCTCACCATTTACTACAGCAGACCAGATGAACAAAATCGACCATTTGCTGTGTTAATGCACAAAACCTGTCAGAGTGTTCTAACAGATGTTGTTCTGCATGAAGAGAAAGATGAAAGGTAGGTCAAAATGATTTTTTATTGCACAGTTTTGTAATAATTCTCCTGATAAGGTTGAATACATTTATGGAAAATAACCCACTTTTACAATATCTCAATGCCGTTTTATACTGGCACTCCTCTATTGGGTGTAAAGTCCATCACTATTATTGCTGTTCTTGAACATTTCAATCGTGAGAAGTGTGATACAGTGAATGTTTTGATATTCCTTGATGAATTATGTTGGTACTTAACTAATCTTTTCCATAGATTTATTGTTGATGTAAGTGCCACTAAAGACAGGGAATTTATTACAATCAACTGCAACTCAAGGTCAACATCTGAGGTAAGTCTGTTATTCAAGTCGGCGATGACTTAATTAAAGACATATAAACCTCCACTTATGCATCAATCTTAGCACCCAGCCTTGCCAAAAAAGTTTCAGACAACAAATTTCTTAATGTCACAAGAGTGGACATGTTTGAGCAGACCTAAATGGCCTTTGCTTCTCTTTGAACTGCTTTGACACTATGGATCAATATCAGTATCTGGACTACTGCCCACCTACCCCTCCCCTAACCCAACATTGACCCTAACTTGTTATCAATAGACTGTTGTTGGGTTAGGGGAGGGGTAGGTGGGTAGTTACTTGGATACTGATATTGATCCAACTCTGTTAAAATTGTTAAACAGGCTCCTGTCTGATAAACAATCTGACATTGCATGCTTAGTTGTAAAAAATAATATTTTATTTATGGTATACTTGATACAACTCTTCACTCTGAAACAGAATATACAATAACAGGCAAGGTTATTTGCCAAAGCCTGGGTTTAAACAAGCCTGTTGTATACATGTATGTTCTGGAAGAATAGCAGTACAGGGTATGTTCCTCACTCCTTCCCCCTAGCTTCTGGCAGGATCTCTTATGTAAGATCTCTTGAATTCTGCTCATCAAGTAGAGTATGAATTTAAATATTAAGTTGCAATAAACACTGGCATGTAAGTTCACCTTTCCCCAAAAAATTTCATAACTACACTTGTCTGTACGTTGCAAACAACCCAACAAACAAACTAAAGATTTCCTGTTGTTTTATGTAAAAATTTCTTGAGAACCTAACAAGAATAAAGAAAAATTCAGGCACAATACCTGAGTAAGATCAAACATACTTCTAAGTTGGTGGACATTGTGCTGACTCCATACCAATTACAGCTAATATTATTGGGAAGGATTCAAATTTTTTTTTTTAATGTGCATTTGATGAATTATGCAACCAAAATAAAGCAACCTTCTCACAACTCTACTTGTGATTTCTTTTGATTTCTTTTCAAAACTTTTTTTCCAAAACTTGACTCGAGGTGTGGTTTATCTCTAAGTGTTGGTTATATGCCAGTGGTTACTGAGAAAAAAAAAGAGAGAAAGAAATCATTTAATTTGACTTACTGTATTCCTTTTTCTAGGTTAGCATTGTAGACATCAAGGATGGTTCATTTGTTTGTAAACCTCTCCACCCAAGGCAACAGGGAATGGAATACTATGTGGATCATAGAGATGATCAGTTTTATATAATAACAAATGCGGATGAAAAAAACTATCGAGTAAGTATATGCATGGCACAACACTAAAGTTTTCAATCATTCTGCGACAAAAAGTCATACAAACTTCTCTTTGTAAAGTCTGGGAGTTGTAGGGGCTACCTGGTAAGTGCACAGGTGACCCAAGTTATCCATTGTTAGGTTT